AACACCACCTCGAATCATCCCCACCACAACCAAAACCTTTTCCATCAACGAGATCCGACGACGCAGGCTCACCATTACAAGCTTTCGAATATGTCGTCGTAGTTGTTACAGGGGGAGAGATCGACCACCATTCGTTATGGTTGTTGAGGGAGAGAACGAGTTGTCGCGTGAGAGACAAGAACGTTTTGTGGTTCTTCAAAGAGGAAAAGGGAAGCGTTTTATTTTTTATTTTTTTTATAATAATAACATTATAAATTACAATTTCTATTTATTTAAAATCAAATTAATGATAAATAAAAAATTAATAATATAAATTTAATGATGTGGCAAAATTATTAAGTAACTAGAACCAATTTCAATATGTCATGTCATTGTTTAGCTGTCAAGTTAAAGGGAACCATAAAAAAAAATATGATAAATAATGACCAAATAGTTAGTTTTTTTTAAAGAGGTATTAAAAAGTTAGAAAAATTATAATAACGGGACCAAAGATACATTTAAGCTTTTAGTTTTTAATTATTTGTTGATTTAGTCTAGCTATATGTGTGCGTGAAGGTGCAAGGAGAAGAAGACGATGAAAACGTGAATCATTTAAAAAGATATCACTTTTCAAAGCTACTAAAATGCTTTGTGTGTTCGTTCATTGAGAATTTTGTCTTCCTTTAAATGTGTTCGTCTTTTGGGTATTTAGGGTTTGAAGTTTTCTTTGTCTTCACTTTGTCTCTTTTCTTAGTGTTTGAAGTTTTCTTACTAAATAAAATGAATCTAGAGTTTAGAATGGAACATATTATTTCAAATAGTAATAAATTTAAAATAAAATAAAAAAAGTCATGTCAGATAATAAAATACCAGTTAGATTGTCACGTACACACAATTTAACAGTTTTTCACAAATTTATTTTGGTATAAAGGAGGGCCTAAGCCCAAAAGAAACTACAAACGAACAAATCTAGTAATAGAATTACTAAATAAATCTTCCTCATACAGTTGCCTAATTGACATTGGACAATCACTAAAAACACAAATTCTTCTATCTTGATTAATTCCTTATTTTGTAAGAGCATCAACACAACAATTTAATTCCCTATAAGCATGACTTACTCGAATATCTCTATCCTGCTGAAAAAAGGACCTAACCTTTCCAACTAGGCTTCCTTTTGTGTCGTTACTAGTGTGACTAGAAATTATGTCATTTGCTACCTGACTAGAATCCACACAAATATTAATTTTGGTGAATCCCAATCTAGTAGCAATATTGAGACCTTCTAACACTCCCCACAACTCAGTTGTACAAACGTCACACAATCCTATATGCTTAGAGAAGCCTCCAAGCCACTCCCCTTCACTACCTCTTAATATTCCTCCACATCCTGTTATGCCCCTCCAGTCTCTAGCTCCATCCGTATTTAGCTTAACCCTTACCATACTAGGAGGTTTCCAATTAATAGAGATCTCCTTCTTATGATGATCATTTGCTATCAATTTTAATCTATTAGCCTACGCATATTCCCGAACATGCTTATGAATATGGTCCTTCATATTAGGAGGTCTTTAATAATTCTCAATATGAATTTCCTTATTATGCCAGCACCATAAATTATAACAAGCAATTTTTCAAAAGGACTTTCAATCTCCATTTGAGTCCCAACCCATATTATGGTTCAACTTATTCTCTATCCAAGCATTAAAATCACCTGCAAAAAATAACACCCGCTTGTTAGTGTTTACCAATGCTAGCCAAAGCAACATAGTCAACGGAAAATCTCTTAGCACGTGAGTTGTGCCTTCTTCCTCATATCCACAGTAAGTACACATTGCACTCCCCATTCCCATCTGATGCTTCCTAGTGTTTGTTATAAGACCATTGTGATTAATGATCTAGACAAAATTTCTCACTTTTTCCACTGCATATTTTCCAAATGATTTTCCATTTTGCCTCTTTACTAAGTTTATTCCCTTTGTCCAACAGTTGATACATCTCACCAACAGAGAAATTCTTTCCAAGCCTGCCAAAGCTCACTATTTGGTTCGGCCTAGAATCTGACGAATGGGGCATTGTTAAGTGTCAATTTTGGCTTAAAATGAACCATCTTTCTTGACACTTTTCAACTCAATTCTCATATTTTCATAGATGTAATTCATGTTCTTGTGTGATTCTTCAAATATATTGTAAATACCTTGGAATTCTTTGATGTGTGTATTATTATGTAGCAATTAGGCATAAAACATAAATGAGTAAGATACAAAAGATTAGACGAGGAAGGCAAAGAAATGTAAAGATTCTGCAATGTTTGCTGGGCGAACTGTAGCGAGCAGCCAGCGAATGTTCGCTGGGCGAAGTAGCAGCGAGATCCCAGTGACGAGGAAACCTTAGAAGTCAGTAGCTAAATGATCCAAAGTTCGATGTGCGAACTAGTAGCTATGTAGTTCACAGTGCGAAAAATTGTTCGCACAACGAACTCAGATATTTTCCAAGGACGATTTAACTGTTCCTGAGACACTTCAAGTGCCTCAAAGTAGACTTCGCTGGGCAAATAGGTTGTTTGCAATGCGAACATGGCAGTTTTTATAAATACTATATAAGTACTTTTCTTGCTTTTTAGAATGTTATGTTATATTTTTGGGATCATAATTTTATCTCTCTTCATTCCAAGTAAGAGAGAGAAACACAAATCCTAAGAGGGATAAGGTAAGATCTTCAATCTCTTGTTGGGTTTGGATATAATCTTTTGATACCTTATGTATTTCATCTAATGTATGTTTGTGAAATAGTTTTGATTATCTATTGTTGATTTTCTTGATTGCTTCTTTGTGGGTCTTGACAAAATCTTTTTCAAATCTTTGGTCTTAGATTTTCATCTATCAATGAGAAGACGTTTGACATGGTTTTGTAAGTTGATATTCATTTGCGTCATATTGTGTTGATTAGTAGCATGAGTAGGATCAACACGGTAGAAACCACAATAACGTTCTTGACACGGACGGTATTATGAGGATGCGTGATAATAGAGATGAGAAACTTGTTCACATACATTTGGCAAATTAAGCGAATGCATGTAAAAAGGTTTAATCATGTGTATGTATTCTGATTATGGCGTTATATATGAATCAAACCATTAATTTGATATGGATGTTATAGTAATATATGTTGGGTCTAAACTCTAGACATAGATTTAGGTTGAACATTCACGTGAGTATCAATTTTTAATGCTTTGTGTTGGTTTTGTTGTGTGAGATATCACCAATGAGACAATATGGTTGGCCTCTCGACTTTGCGTTAGACATAACCTCTGTTGTGGGTGATACGTGAATATATTAGACGAAAGTTTGAGTTGTGTATAACATGATTAGAAGAATGCATGCGTTATTAATTGATGAGATCAAATCCCAACAAGGCTCCGTTTATATTTCAGTCTTTATTTTATATTTTCAGTCTTTATCTTTTCTGCCTTTATTTTTGGTGCCTACAATCTTTCAACTAAACTTTTGCACCACAAGCTAAGAAATGTAGAGACCGTTGAACGACATTTTTTCCCTCCCACCGATCCCTGTGGAGACAATATAAATTCCGGAAGGAATTCCTTCTGTCATACCCCAAATTTTAGCACACCACCTTAGGTCAACCATTCATGCATAGCTAACCAATTTTTTAGTTCTATTTGTTTTGTTTGTGAAGATTAGGGCTACTGCAGAAGGTTTGAAGGTCATGAAGGCTCTGCGTGTATGCTCATCAGGATTCTAGGTTTTTGCAAGTTATGTTGAATTTCGGTGGAAAGGAAAGAAGAATATACCCTCATTCTTATAGCCCATCAGCCAGTATAAGATCATTTCTCTCCAATACTTCTTAGAGGCGCATTAATTTCAAGTGTAGGTGGTGTTGATTCTCTCAAGACATGACCAGTTAATCCTGATCTGCGCTCCACTTATAGAATTATTTCTCATTCATGGGCTATTCTTGGAACAGGACCTTGAAGATGGTTTGGTTGAATTTTGTGGCCATATCTTGGTAAAGTCAGGATCTTTGTGATTCAGAATATTGTTGTAAGTGTGTGCATGGATCTCAAATTGGAATTTGTTGGACTTTAGTGTATTATGACGTGGGGCCATTGTTTATGGTACTTCAAAATTTGTTTGTAATGTGATATTTCGAGAAGTTTTCCGCATCAAAATTTGGTTATGGTTTCATCAAAGTATTCATTTAACCCCAAGATTCAAAGCATTCCAAATTTTCTTGCGAATCAAGTCTTTCAAAATTTTCCAATTCATGTCATCAAAGGGATTAATTCGAGATTTGATTTACAAAGTGTAAGTTAGAAGTTAGTTGAAAAGTTAGAAACTCATTCAAAAAGTTCAAAGAAGTTCAAACACAATTAACTTTAAAGGTTCAAGTATAATGCTATTTGATTTTCAAAGTTTACAAGTTAGATGGAAGTTCAATTTGCATTTCCTTACAAAGTCAAGTTAATGATATTCAAATTCAAGTTCAAAGATTTCTCACAAGTCTAAGATGAGATTACAAGAAGTACAAAATCCCAACACCACTTCCATGTTTTGATATTCAAATTTTACAAAAGACTCACATGTTGCAAAGTTCCTAATAAAAATTGTCAAGATTACAAAGTTTACAAGAACATCGGCATGTAAGTAGGATAATCACTTGTTTTTTACAAAGGAAAAATCCTAAGCATATTACATGACATGTTATCGTGGTGATGAGATAATTAGAAGAATGGTTCTTTCTTGGCTGCCACTTGCAACAATAGAAGTTGGTGTACAAATGCTCTTATCACAAATTGGTAATCGCAATAACCGCTCCTTCCTCAAGTCTTTCAAAAAGGCTACACGATTTATTGCCATCATGGTATGCACATTTGTGGCTGCTTTTGCGTGGTCTTACGTTCAGCTGGACGAAGTGTAACCAGTTGCGTCAATGTGCTTTTCACCTTTGTTAATGCTCAAGCTTTTCTCTCCATGTGGTGCCATGCCAAGACTGGTATATTCTTACTCTTCTCTAGCTGAGTTTTGGCTATGTCTGGTTCTTGTGGTGCCTGAAACAAATAACATACCAATTGAAGAAATAATAGAGGAAAATAGAAACTCGATTCAGGCAGCAAATCGGCCAATATTAATTATAAATTTGACAATGTCCAATTCATTAATCATAATAAAACCATGGAGATTGGAAAGAATCGCAATCATAACAGCAAATAAAGATATTCGAGAACACAATAACACATTTCCAAAGTAAGAATGATATGTTTTGAATCAGATCTTTGACAGCAATCACATTCATCACGCAAAACAAGTTCATGATGGTCACATATTTTCCTTCCAAAAACATAATCAACAACAAAATTCTACTCATAAATGAAAAATCAATGTGTCCCTATGTCACATAGCCTATAAAGCAAGAACATTTTCATTCACACGGGAATGGAAAAAAAACACACACGACGAAATCACACATTTGCAACAGCAGCATGTCGTAACAAAACACGACAATTGCAGCAACACAATCATACATAATTGATTTGTCCAAGCAATACACAAACAGGTCTGCTTAAAAATGGCAAGAATCATTATATTCACAGCAAGGACACAAGTCAAACAGATGTGATTTTCTTTCCGAAACAATTTCTGACATATTAATTCTCAAATTAAATTGGAAGAGTTTGAAGCCTATAAGAAGAGAAAGGATTCTACAAGAAGGAGGACGGAACAAATTTCAAAGTTCGCAGAAAACTTCATAAAAACATACCGATACTCGCACAGCTTTCACACAAAAAACCACAGAATATGCACACGCGAGCAGCAGAACAGAATCATTACATACAGTATCTGGAAATTCAAATTCATATACACACACAATTGAAAGGAAGTTAAGAAGCAAAATCCACAAATCACAGTATTCATACAGAACATCATCATAGCAAGAAACGCATATCCATAGCAACATTGGAGTAGAGACGAAAAGAGGAATCGTACCGTCGTAATTGTCGCCGACGTCGAAACTGCCGCATCGCAATTCCTCGATAAATTTCATGAATTTTGTTTCGATTATGTCGTCGTGTTGTATTCCGTTGAGCTGAGAGCTGTGAATTTGAGCGAGAGAATCGAGATGATTGATGGCGGAGATAATGTTTGCGCGGGTGAAAGACAAATAGAAAGGGATGGTGGAGAAGAATGTTCGTGCGATTGGAGATTGAAGAAGAGGGTTACGGTGACGGAGAAGAGGGTTGCAGCGGTAGAAGGAAGGATCATCACAGAGAGAAACAAGGAGAATGAGTGAACTGGGTTTCTTTTTTCTTTTTTTTAAGGGCATTGTTGTTATGTTTACAGGTCCGGGTGGGCTCAATCCCCCACCGGCCCATGCTTTTTATTTTTTATAGTTTTTTTATTTTGTTTGGTTCCATGGGCTTCCTAATAAGCCCAATTTTTTTTTTCTTTTTATTCTTTTTTACATTTTTATTATCATTATTGTTTGATGATCTTCTTATATTGTCTTTTTAAGATTAATATTTAGCTTGATTTAAAACTAATTATTCTCTGTAGACTTTGTTTTTGATGACCTTGAGTCTTTAATCGGTCAAGAGTCAGATTGATTTAAATCTTGACTATCTTTCTTGATTGACGTGGTTTCACAAATCTTGTTATTGATTTATATCTTGGTCCTGACACATATGATTGAGGATTGTTTCGATGTTTTATGCTTTTGGTTATCTGTGTGTTTTCTTGTGTTCCCATAAGTTCTCAATTTATTGGTGTCTTCGAACCGGATCAGGATAGGCGCATAAATGTTAGGAATTTTTCTTTATAGGACAACTTTCATTTAGTATCTTTCCTTTAATACCATTCCAAGGGAAGGATATCCTCCTGTTAACTGCCACGTCATAGCTTAGGAAATTCTAGGTCCATTCCATTATCCTAGCCTTAGGGTCAGGAGTCGCCGCCCTCCACTTAAGTTTCTGTCATGGACACTCATCCATTTTCCTTCCCGTATTATCCTAGCCTTTGGATAAGAATCGTTGTATTCCATGTGTAATACCCCAAATTTTGCACTAAGATTAGTCGTTTCATCTTGCATTTCATTTCATTTTGCATTGCGTTTAAACTAACCACTAACGGGTTGTTTGATTTTTGCAGGAAAATATCATGTGGCGCGCTCTTTTAGTTTACAGGGTTTCTAGTGCCACTTTATTTTGAATGAATAAAATAACACAATTGGCAATAAACCATGTGTAAGGAGTTGTGAGTGTGAGAGGGGGAAGGAGACAAAAGAGAAAAACGGCGGCCGTTCTCACGATTTATCAGAAAAGGGAAGATAGCTTCATCATCGCCAGAGGACGAGCATCAATACATCCATCAAATTTCATCACCGCCAATCGGCCGAAAGGTATGAGTTTTAAAATTCTGAGTTTAGTAAGTAATTATTTAGATAATTAAGAGAATAACTATTAATTAAAAACATATTTTTATTAACTTTCATAGTTCTCTTCTTTAGAATAAAACAAAAACTAAAAAAAAAACAGTTTTTTAGTAAAATACAAACTTCTTTTAGACTATTTTTTAATTAGCGTAAGTTAATTAACCCTTTTTTTTCTTTTAAACAAAAAAATTAATATTTTTTGAAAATTAATACTAATCTTTTTAAATTAAACTTTTGCTAATCAACTCTTTTTTTTAACACTAAACCTTTTTTTAATATTTAGGCTAGAACAATTTTTTAAAATTAGAATTAAATTCTTTTAAAAAAAAAACTAAATTTTTTTTAAAACTAAGATTAAAATTAAACTAAACCTCTCTTTTTATTAAAACTAAAACTTTTTTTAAAAAAAAATTAAAATTGAATCTTTTTAAAATTAAAACTAAAACATTTTTCAAATTAAAACTAAGACACTTTTTGAACATTTGACAATTAAACTTTTTTTTTTTATATAGTAAAATTAAATCTTTTTTAAATTTAAAACAAAAATTCTTTCTTTTAATTAAGACAAAAATCTTTTTTTTTTCAAAGTTAAAACCAAATTTTTTTTTTAAAAAATAAAACAATATCAAATTAGCAGCTTTCTCTTCACTATCTCATTATCCGCTTTATTTCTGTCTAATCCTATTAACATTCTCCGATTTTTTTCAGTTGATTGAGTTTAACTTCATTTATCATTAGTTAAATATTTCATTATCATATTTGTATTTTGTTTCATGGATGTAATTTACGCGAGGCCATGGTCGCGGTTTTATTTTATCTTTCTTTTTTGGGGATTTGTAATTTACGCGAGTGATCGTCGCGATGCTTTCTTTTACCGCTTTCTTTATTTTTCCGCACTTTAATTCTGCCGAATAGTAATTTGCCGTATTTTGCATGATTTTACCGTTAGAATCCCTCCGAAGGAATTAGGTCTAGCAGTTTGACCGCCGAGTCAATAACCCTAATTTTTGACCGTTTCAAAAACCCTAATAGCCTAGGTGTCCCGCCGTGGACGAAAATGCCCTTTACTCTAGCATTAGGTCAAAGAGTCGTCGTACTCTGTTTAGGGTTTCCCGCCGTGGAATCCCTAATTTCAACCCTAAATTTTCAATTAACAAATTCAACATAGAAATAGGAGTTTCAAAGACTCCACGTAAGCGTGTCCTTAAGATATGTTTACTCCCCTTGAAACCTTGACCACAGTCAAGACGTTTCTAACCTCCCTTTCGAGGGAAACTACAATTACTCTGATTCCATTCCCGTCAGGATATGTAGGCACAAGATGTGACGTCTTGCCGAGTAAACTTAGGACTAACCCTTAGGTCTTTTAGGTCACTCTATCCCTTAGCTCAATATATACATCAAACAAATAAAAAAATAAAAAAAAGCATACAATAAACAAAAGGTTCCTGTAGAGTACTACAGAAGTTTAGGGTGCTAGTACCTTCCCTAAGCTTAACCAACCCCTTACTTAGGTCTCTCCCCGCATTGTGTTTACGATGCAAAAATAGGTTTTTCCTCTTTTAACCTTTTCCTTCGGATAAATCAAAGAGCGGTTGTGAATCAAGAATTGTGATTCAAACTAATTAATAGTTTGATATCCTATTTCCACCGCAACAGAAAATACCGACTTCACTGGGGACCCTCCTAACTTTTAAGTGTTGCCCCTATTTTGTTTATTGTATGATATTTCTATTTTATTTCATTATCTGTATATATTGTACCTTGCTTGGGGTATCTTTGTTGTGAGATAAGTCCTACACCCGGACTTGAGTGACATTATTATAGGAAGGTGATATATTCGACGAGGCTTATAGAGAGTGGAATCCCGACCAAACTGACTTGAGAATCACCGCTCAGTTGAGACCCTTTCGAAAGTGGTTCGGTTGAACGAGTAATCGTGAAAACTTTTACTATTGTCGATTGGAGTCTGTGATACTAGGGACCGTAGTACCTTAACACCACTTTTGTCTTATCTAGGATGTAGTGCGGGAACTATGAGGGAGTAATTCCAAAATGGTCGCTACGCGATACTACACTCAAAAGAGGTTCTCTTGAGAATATTATCAACCACCGAGTCAATTGGGAAATTGATAATATCCGAAAGATGGATTGATGACTTTGGGCACCGTTTTAGAACCTTGTTCGGCAGGTACAACTAACCTTAGTACATACCTATTGGGATGGGTAGACCCTAACTCCTTGCATATACCTTTAACCTAGGACTTTGTATATATGCATTTCATCCATAAGACATCATATTGCATCACATGTCATGGAATTCAAATTTTATTTATGAATATTGCAGGATACCATGGATTACAAAAAAAAAAAACAAAAAAAAAAACTTTGAGATATTCTTTTAAAGGACTTAAGTTAGATGACCTAAGGAAGCTAGGAGCTTTGGTTCAAGATCAATAAAGGATGCAGAAACGTTTCCTTTCGACTTTGTTATAGTTCTAGGATCCAGATTATCTTTTCCTTACATCCCTCGAGTACCAGCTCTTGCCTACCCTAGAAGAGTACTCTCAATTGGTGGGGTTACCTATTCTGAAGGAGTATTCGTTCCCTTTCTTGGAGAAAGACCCTAAAGAACAAGACCGTTGCTAAAGTCATATGCTCGAAGTCATCCGACATCAAGGACACTAATCACCAATAATTGTGAAGACTTTTCCAACGTACCCTTGCTTGGTTTTGATGAAGGATTTATTTTCCTCTAACTCTCGATTTACCTTTTGAAGATAGGCTCATCCTCAAAAAGGCCTAGCCCGAAGAGCAGAGCAAGGGGCGGAACAGGAAGCTTCCTTAGGGTCATTATTAGCTTTTATTTAGCTATTATGCCAAGACTTTTCTAAGAATATTAGTTGTAATCCGTTTTTAAATTAATAAATAATGTTTTGGTATTCTGCGATATTCGTAAATATTTGAATTCCATGAAATCATTTCATTCGCATTTTGCATCATATTTTTGCATTCCATGTCTCTCCCGGTTTCTCATTCTCGGTTCTCTCGCCTGCCAGTTTCGTCACCCTGGGTCCTCCGCATCAGTACAATACTAGAGCCCAAGATCGAAAAAGGATGGAAGAACAAGCTCAAGAGATCGACCGTGTCAGCCATGAACTCGAAGATCTTCGAGGAAGTGTGGGGCAGATTATGGAGATGTTGCAAGCCCTTAAGGTGAAGATGGATAATCAACCTACTGTTGTTTCTGAGATTACCAACACTGTTGTGGGTTCTCACCCAGCTGTTACTGTTGAGAACATACCTCCTCATGGTCCTCAACTCAGTTTGGTGCATCCTACCATTGCTCAACCAGTTCGACGAGTTACTCCTCTGAAGTGTAAAACTTCGAGCGTTGACCACCATAAAGGACCTACACGTCCGAGGAATCACTCGATGGCTACTCATCAACCTTGGCAACCTCAACAGAATTATGTTCAAGGTTATCTAGGTCAGTATGCTCCAAAACCATATGTAGCTACTGTTGCACCTCCTTTTAGTCAGCAATTTCCTACATATCAGCCTGTGCAACCGGCTCCGGTCTATCAGCATCCGGTTTATCAACAACCTCCTGTTTATCATCCTGCACAAGCTCCTGTCAACTGTCAGCGAGTGCCCAACGCTCCCGTGTGCCAACCATCAGAGGAGACGATACCTCGTCAAAATAGGAGACCATACAAGCCTTGTCCTCCAATCCCAATGACGTTCAGTGAGTTGTATCCTTTCTTAGTGCAACAAGGTCTGGTTGTTACCCGAACTTTGGGTCCACCTCCCAATCCGGTACCTGTCAATTACAACGTCGCCGCTCATTTTTTATTTCATGAGGGTGCGCCTGGTCACGATTTGGAAGGATGTTA